ATAATGACATCAATGTCATTTATTCTATATCACTATACTTAAATAGCTTCTTCTGAATTTCAAAATCATATGACAGGGTTTCGCAGAAGACATTACACGGTACGCTTAAGTTAAAGCTTTTAAATCAAGAAGCTTTTTATTTCATTACTTTTTAACTCTGAGGATGTAAACTCTTAAGTTAATATGCTAGCTTGAGTTGTTATTACCTCAATAGTTAATATGTGTTTCTAACACTTCTTAAAATAGTTCACATAAATTATTATAGGGAATGCTTTGTTTTTAATTTTGAGCTTTTCTAAATTTTGATATTCATCTTCTGATCTATTACTTTAGAATTTTCCAGGTTAATTGTTATGTTTTTCTTAAGTTAAACATATCACATTGTTTACTATAAAAAGATGCACTTGGCAATTCAAATTTTGGTGTAATGTTCTGATACATGGGTGGATGAGGCAGATTGGCATTAATTTGTGCCTCTTACATGCTTTCCATTTTCCACATAATAGTTTTGGTGTAATGTTCTAGGACTTTTGCCCTGTTGTATCTAAATGATAGAGTTGAATGCCTGTATAACTAAAGTGGTATATTTTCCCAGTGAAAAGGTATTACATTGACTTTGCATACACCGACTTCAAACTTCAAACGTGGTATATTTTAATAAAAGTAGTCAAAAGCATAGACTTCCGTCTTTGTTGAAAAATATTTCATCAAGTGTATACTTTGTACGTTGGTTAAGAAAAAAGATTCTAATAATACGTACTACCTCGGTTACCTCCTGTCACAAATTGATGAATCTATTTAATATTCATGACTTCTTTACTTGAATTGTTTTTAGGATTACACCAATTTCAATCCAAGTAAAAACATCCTCACTTGGTCAACATAAATCACTAATAATGTTTTATTTTAGTTTCTAAATATTTAAATTTTATATGTTACAAATATTTTGAGCACGAACAAAGATCCACATGACTCACCCTGTATGTTTGAGGACCTAGGGGCGGAGAAATAAAATAAACATGTTTTCTTTTCATGTATCTTTTCATGTTGAGTGATGAATTTAATAAAATATATAATATTTAAATACTGAATTAGTAAACATGTTTTCTTTATTTAGATGTTAATTAAAGTTAAAAGTATTGTTTGTTTAATTTCGTTGTGATGAAATGTATATATTGTGGAATATTTTATTTATTAGTTTAATCTTAACTAACCTAATAAAATATTTAAATAAATGCGTTACTGCAGATTTTGAGCTGGATCAAGAGAAAATTGAAAAGTATTGTTTGTTGGAGATTCAGAAGCTCTTGCAGTCAAGAGGTAGATCACTACGTGATTTTGCTGGCATACCCTTGCTACCTGATGATGAAATGCCCTCGCTTGAAGAAGTTCTCATTCATGAAGAGCTGCGGTATGATAAATCGTATTTGATGGAGGAGCATGCAAAGTTGTTGGCCGAGATGACAGATGAACAACGTGTTGTGTCTGACAGAATAATGGAATCTGTAGATTGTAGAAACGGGAAATTCTACTTTTTATATGCTCACGGAGGAACTGGGAAAACATATCTATGGAGGACTTTGTCTGCGGCTGTTAGATCTCGCGGTGATATAGTTCTTAACGTTGCTTCAAGTGGTATAGCATCGCTTCTGTTGCCTGGAGGAAGGACCGCACATTCGAGGTTTGCAATTCCACTTAGTGTTGTAGAAGACTCCACGTGCAACATAAAACATGGTAGTCCGTTGGCTAAGCTGATAGAGTTATCTAAGTTGATTATATGGGATGAGGCACCGATGATGCATCGACACTGTTTCGAAGCTCTTGACCGGAGTATGAGAGACGTGCTTCGTTACTCCAGCCATTGTGACGCTACCTTGCCTTTTGGTGGGAAGACGATTGTATTTGGTGGTGACTTTAGACAGATTCTTCCTGTGATACCAAAAGGCACAAGACAGGATATTGTGCACGCTGCACTGAACAGTTCATTCCTGTGGTCACATTGTACTGTAGTGAGGCTTACTAAAAACATGAGGCTCGCGAGGATGCTTGGCCAGCCGGATGGACCAACTATCCAATCTTTTGTGGAGTGGATTTTGAAGATTGGCGACGGGGCTTTTGCTGAAAATGAAGATGGAGAATCACTCATTGATATACCAGACGATATGATCGCTCCAATGACGTCTGATCCCGTTGAATCTATAGTTCAAGCTATTTATCCTGATTTCTTAACCCAGAGTGATCCGATTAATTATCTTAATTACAGGGCTATTCTTGCTCCGACCATAGATAAGGTCAACGATTTCATGTTGAGCAAGATAGATTCAGTGTTAAAGACATACCTTAGCTCAGATTCAGCTTCTTCATCTGACTCGGATAGTAATGATCTCTTGCACGAGATACATTCTCCTGAATTTCTTAATAGTATCAAATGTTCTGGCTTGCCAAGTCATGAGCTGAAGCTGAAAGTTGGAGTTCCTGTGATGCTTATGAGGAATATAGATCATTCATCTGGATTGTGCAATGGCACACGGCTTCTGGTCACTAAACTTGGAGCTCATATTATTGAGGCTCAGATGATGCACGGAGAAAATGCTGGTGAGAAGTTTCTTATTCCCCGCCTTACTTTGACACCGTCAGACATTAGTCTCCCGTTCACTTTTCAGCGTAGGCAATTTCTGTTAATGGTTAGCTATGCAATGACCATTAATAAGAGCCAGGGACAGTCATTGGAAAATGTTGGCATCTTCCTCCGTCGACCTGTTTTTACCCATGGACAGTTGTACGTGGCGGTCTCGAGAGTAACAAGTCCGTCTGGATTAAAGTTTGTTATATGTGACGAAGAAGGGAAACCAACGAAGTCAGCATTGAATGTAGTATACAAAGAAGTTTATACTAATTTATAGTTCCCTTGCTTTACATACATGCATACTCATTGCTACGTATATTGCATGACGATTTGTACTTAACGTTGAGCATTATTTTTTAGTTTCGTATTAAATATGAAACTTATTTTATTATATGCTTTAATTTGATTATTTTGTTTTAGTTTTTTATTTTATGTTTTGAGTTTGCTTAATTGACTATGAAATTCTTTAAGTTTATCTATGATTTATCCAAACATCTTCACTCCCGTGCGTAGCACGGGTGGAATTACTAGTTACTCAATAAAGAGTGTTATAGTATAAAGAAAAAATATATTCTTCTAAAGTGTATATCGTTTCAGACTTTCAGGTATAAAATAAATAAGTGACCCATTTTTCTAGATTCTTGATCAAATCTGATGACTAACAAAAGATGGTCTGAACGGACGTAATTTTTCAGATGATATCTTTAGGTAAGTGTGTGCAAATGACACTTTATTAGCAGGCATTTAAAAGGGGTAGGATTTGGTAAAGTATGTATATATATGGTATTATAGAACCGGTGGGCGTAGCTCAACTGGTAGCGAGGGAGTGCCACAAGGGTTAGGTCTCGGGTTCGAATCCCGGCAACTGCGATGAGGCATTACTATGCTGAAAAATGCATAGGGCTTCTGCAAGTACCGGGGACAGAGCCCCACTCTCTATCTGTCAGATTGTGATTATAGTCCAATTTACATCCTCCCATCGTGCCGTCCGGTCGGTGTTGGGGGGCCCTCAGGGATGGGGTGTCATTTAATGGTATTATAGATATATCGTAAGTTTAGCCGAATTCATAATGTAATAAATTCGGTAATAATTATGATCAATTATTCAAATGAGGTAAATGAATGACTAAACAAAAGAATAAATAAACAAACCCTGATATTTTTAAAAAATTACCAGGTGGGTAAAAACAAAAACATAAAAATACCCCTTTTAGTTTAGCAATTGAAATAAATGGTTCTTACCAATGTTCTAAATGGCACTAGGCGCTAGTCGGGCGCCAGCCCAGCGCCTAGCGCCTAGGCGGCTAGGCGGGCGCCTAGTCGGGGACCAGTCGGAGACATAGAAATTACATTTTTATCTATATTTTTGCATAAATATGATAAGTAATGTTGTATTATTGTGTGTATAAAATACATATATACATATACATTAACAAACATGAAAGATAGAATTATCACATTTAATCATACGAAGTATATGATAACTAATCACTTAACTTCATTATGTTATAAATATAAATAATGATAAAATTTAGGTATATATACAAACATATATAGTTTTATCTTAATTTACAACTTAATTTCTTTATATCCATGGTTAAAGTTAAAGTGCGTATATTACTTCGAAAATTAAAATTTTAAAAGTAAAGTAATGTTCGGCGAATCTAGAAGGCCTATGCGGCCGATCAGGCACTCTAGGCGGGCAACTAGGCGCCATAGGCGTCCGACTAACTCACCTAGTCGGGAAACCAATTAGTCGGACCGCCTAGACGAAAATTGGGGCGCCCGACCACCGCCTAACGCCTAGGCGGGGACTAGTCGGGCGCCTAGAACGATTTTTAGAACAGAGTTTCTTACTTTAGACCTTGAAAATAAGTTATTTTATATAGAACATGTTGAAGGACTTGAAGCATAGCTAGCTTATTAATTTTTAGGGATGTAAAGTTAGTAAAAACGTATTCAAGAAATAATAAACCTTTCAATATTATTTTGTTAGTTACTAATCACATAAACAAACAATGGAGTAGGATTTGATTAGTAAATAGAATGTGTCTAAGTATTCCTCCATCAATCAATAATAAATAAGTCATCAGTTCTATCAATTCAAATAAAGATCCATAAAATGCTTATTTGGAAGATATGCAGGAAATATCAAGTCTTTTTTGAAAATGTAATCAAATATTTTACAAAAAATGTTTTGGGAAGATTTGGGCTGTATGTAATAAAGTTATGGAATGAAAACACCTTTTAGGACAGCGTTGATTCAGATGGAGAGCTCCGGACAAATTCTGAGTTGACCAATCAGCCTCCACAAGAAGAAAATGTAAGCAAATATGGCTGAGTGAGCGGATATTTTGCCTTCTCAACCGGTATGGGAAAAATGGCGAGTGCCCAAATTCTTTTTTTTTTTTTGCAAGAAGAAAGCTCAACTTCCATTAATCAAATCATTGTCAAAAATACAGGATAAAAACGAAGGAATAACATAAAACCAAGAGCACGAATCAGACATAGAACAAGCAGCCTGAGCAATAGAGTGGGCTAGCTTGTTCGCTGACCGTCGAATAAAAAAGAACTAGATATTAGCAAAATTCGTTACTAGCTCTCTTATGTCTTCTGCTATTAACCCAAAAGAGGAAAAACTGGTATTCTTCTTGATCTCCGAGATAGCACGCGAAGCATCGGACTCCACTTCCACACTCTGCCAACATGTCCCCTGTAACCAGCTGAGGGCTTCCCTGATTGCAATCAGTTCTGCCTCCAAAGACGACAAAATGCCATGCCACGGCTTACGTGCCACAAAGTTACCCTCTTTGTCCCGTAAGCACCAGCCTAAGCCGCAACGATCCGGTCTAATTGCAGCGTCCACATTTAACTTCAATCTGCCCGGAGCAGGTCTGTGCCAACTTGTAGAAGCAGCGGCTACAGCCTCTGGTCTTCTTCCTTTCTCAAACTGAGCCTGCTTCCATCCTGAAATAAAATAATGAGCCTTATCCATAAAAACCTTAGCGGATGAAGAAACATGTTGTCATACTCTCCGATTTCTTTCGCACCAGAGTGCCCAGCATCCCCCTATCAAGACTTCCAAGGACTCTTTTCTTCTTGATTGAAATTCAATTTGGAGTTGCTCCATAAAGTTGTCCCCTCCATAGCTCGTCCAACTCCTTGCAGCTGTTCTCCAAGCCTCTTGTGCTACCGGGCATAGTTTGAAAATGTGTAACAAAGATTCACCCGCGCTGCCACACAGTCCATAGTTCCCTGAACAGTTCACCTGCCGGGCTCTCAACAAATCTTTCGTAGGCAAACAACCGCTACAAACCTGTCAAAAAAAAATTTAATTTTTGGAGGAATTTTCCAATTCCACATTTCAGTCCACCCTGTCCAATTCACTGGGTTTATCTCTCCAACAATCCGCCTATAGCAACTCTTAACCGAGAACCGCCCATCCTCCTCCCACCTCCACTGTTTTACATCGGATACCGGACGGAGGCTAAGGGGAATTCTTCGGATTAAGTCCACATCCCTACCTTCCAAAATGTCATTAAGAATGTCTATATCCCATTCTTTACCATCTACATCCATGAGACTCCTAACCACAGCCTCGTGTAAGCCTTCGCCTGACACTGTAATAACTTTCGGATTGGTTGGGTCAGGCAGCCATGGATCTTCCCAGATGTTAATGGACCGACCATCCCCAACCCGCCACTTGAAACCATCCCGAATAATATTCTGAGTTTCAAATAAGCTCCTCCAAACAAAAGAGGGAGTATGTCCAAGGGTAGCTGTCAAAAATGTCCCTCGCGGAAAATAGCGGGATTTAAAAACTCTCCCGACTAAGGAGTCCGGATTGGTAAAAAGACGCCAAGCCTGTTTAGACAACATGGCTAAATTAAATTCATGGAGTTTCCGGAAACCTAGGCCGCCAACTTTTTTCGGAGTACTGAGAGAAGCCCAATTCTTCCAGCGGATACCCGACCCGGCTTTTCCTTTCCACCAATACCCATTCATTAACACTTCAATTTCTCTGCAAAGATCGTTAGGTAGAAGGAACACGTTCATTGCATAGGTGGGCATGGCTTGAATAACTGATTTCAGTAGCACTTCCCTTCCAGCTTTAGAGAAAAATTTGTTATTCCAATTCTAAATGCCCAAATTTATTATTCCAGCGAGTGCCCAAATTCTATGAATATGGCTTTCAGCGAAGCACTGATGTTCCGTATTACAATCGACATGCTAATTGATACGGAGTACTAATTTTATTACTCGTATACATTAGATAGTATAATTATTATGGTATATTGTTATTATTATTGTATATTTTTATTATCATTATCAATTATCAAACATCCTCACCATTATCTTTTTTAGTAGAGGTTTATCTGAAGTATTACTATAATAAAATTAATGAACAAAAGTGAGACATGGAATGTAACTGGTAAGTATATTTTCATAATACTACTTTTTTCGTTCCTTAAAATTTTGTCAAGTTTGATCGACACCAAGATTAATAAAGTAAAAAATGTGTGATTAAGATTTGTGTAGAGGAGATAAAATTAAATGGAACACAAATTCTTTACTTAAACATGAAAGTGACAAAGTTAGTGGGACATCCAAAAAAAGAAAGTTGGTAAAGTGTTAAAGTGACGGAGGGAGTATAATGTAAAATTTGAATTTAATTATACAATAAAAGTTATCGTGTCGTATTTTTATCCAATATCCTTATTTCGGTCATATATATTAGGTATTTTTTCTTTCTCTTACTATTAATATTATCATTCAATTACTTTTTTTAGATCTGATTTTTGTGTAATTGGTAAATATATTTGCTAGATTAAGGACTCAGAAAAATCTTTTTCAATTGAAAATTTGAATGATATGATGTTTTTGAATAACTTTGTTTAATGTTCAACTTAAATATTAAACATAGCTCTAGGAAAATTAAAATAAACGATTAAAAATCAAAACGCCTTTTCACGCCTAATCCCCGCCTAGGCCCGCCCAGGCTTCAAAGGCCTAAGTCTTGACTGTGCCGCCTCGACACGCCTTACGCCTTTTAGAACATTGCCTAGGATAATAGATTATTACACCCCTCAATCTGTGCGGGGGAAATAACGTGTAGATTGGATCGTAAAAATTCAAAACGTTGACTAGATAAATTTTTAGTGAAAATAACTACAAGCTGATACTGAGTAGGAACATATTTGACTATGAGGTCCCCATGAGGCACGCGTTCACGAACAAAGTGATGCCGAAACATTGTCACAATGGAGCTGAACCGGAGCAGAAATAAAAATTCCCATATCTGCTAGTAAGGAGCGAATAAAGATGGTGTCCTGTACAGTGTATGCAATTGCCCTGTATTCCGCCTATGTGGATGATTTGGAAACAGTGGGTTGTTTCTTGGAACGCCATGAAATAAGATTCTTACCCAAGAAAATTGCATAGCCAGTGGTGGAGCGACTACGATCCGGACAGCCTACCCAATCAATATCAGAATATGCAACAATAAGTGATATGTGTCTGTTAGACTTAAGCCAAAGACCATATGCCACCGTGCCCTGCAAATATCTATAAATTCTTTTGAAAGCAAAAAGATGAGAGGTACGAAGAGCATGCATAAACTGAGAAACCAGATGTACGACATAAGTAATAGCAGGTCTAGTTATAGTTATATATTGTAAGGCACCTGCCATGCTGCGGTACTCAGTAGCATCAGTTAAGAGTTCCCCATCTGTAAGAGAGTGTAGTGCGAGAGGGTAAGGGAGTACGGACAGGTTTAACAGTGTGAAGATGAACACGGCGGAGTAGGTCAGTGACATACTTATGCTGTGAGAGAAAAAGCCCTTGGGGTGTACGTTGAGCCTGAATGCCTAAAAAATAGTGTACATCCCCTAAATTTTTCATAGCAAACTGAGATGAGAGAGTGCGAATAACAGACTGAACGAAAGGCATGGAAGAGCCAGTGATTAATATGTCATCTACATATAAAAGGATGTATACAACCTGTGACTGAAAACGGTAGATAAACATGGAAGAATCAGACTTACTCTGAGTGAAACCATGAGTTAATAAGAAGCCACTGAATCGGTGAAACCAGGCCCGCGAGCCCTGCTTGAGCCCATAAAGAGCTTTGCGCAGGCGACATACATGATGAGGGTAAGATGGATGAATGGAACCTAGAGGCTGACGCAGATACACCTCTTCAGTGACATAACCATGAAGAAACGCGTTCTTGACATCAAGTTGGCGAATAGACCAGCTTAAGGAAATAGCAACAGATAGAACAAGACGAACTGTTTTGGGTTTAACCACCGGACTAAATGTTTCAGTAAAATCTATCCCTGCTTGCTGTTTAAACCCCTGAGCCACCAAACAGGCTTTGTGTCGCTCAACAGACCCATCAGAATGGTATTTAGTTTTGTAAATCCACTTACATCCAACCACATTTTGAGTATGATTACTAGGTACTAAATCCCAAGTGTGATTAGCAATTAATGCATTAAACTCATCAGCCATGGCAGCCCGCCAAATAATACTCTTATTAGCTTGAGTAAAACATGTGGGATCATCCGGGGGAGAAAGAGTAAAAATTTATGAATCCACGATCCAGAACTGAGACATGCTATGATCCAGGGAAGGCTGCTCCATCAGTAAAGAAACGGGCGCCAGTATGCATGTCATCGCCAGAGAGCTGCACGGAGGGAGTTTCCGGCGCTATTGTTGTGGAAGGTTGGGTCGAGGACATCGTCAATTGCAGAGATGCTGCGGACGTGCTTGCCATTGAAGACGTAGAAGTGAAGCTAGAAACCCTACCAGTCTGATACCATATGCAAGATACTCGTCCGTATTATTTTGTGGAATGATTCGGATTTCCTAACCCCATATCTTATCTTATCTTATCTTATCTTATCTTATCTTATCTTCTTATATAATACTATCCTCCGTCTCTTTTTAATCGCAACATGTTGAATTTTACACTATTCATATGTTCTACTTTAACTACATTTTATATTATTATTTTATGAAAATTATTTTTTTAAAAAAATATTGTTCAATTCATCTCATTACAAATTTTCAAAATCTAATTTTTAAATATTTTTTACTAATAGAGATTAAGATATAATTACAGTCAAAGACATGCATTGGCAAGTGTGAAATGTTGACCGTTGCAACTAAAAAAGAACGGAGGAAGTATAAAGTAGCAAAGTTGCTAAAGTTTTTGGAGGCAAAATTCCCGCTCATTTGAAGGGTATAAGTGGAAATTAATATTGTATTAATACAAATGGCAATTAATATATTCCGTACTTTATTAAAACTTCATGTCGATATTAATATATATGACTAAAAATGGCTAGCTATTGGCAGTTGGCACAACCTTATATTACGGATGTTATTACAAAGGTAATAAATGGAAAGGTTTGCTCAAGACAATCCTGTAACTAATGGTGGGAATAAATACTTCTAATTTTGATCATAAATTGCAAAATTTTTGTTTGAAATCAAATCAACAGCTTAATCAATATATTCGTAAATGTAAATAACCAACATGCATTCAAATCAATTCGAAAAGCTAATGTACAAAAATTAATCATATTGGAAAAATCATATTTTTTAGTCCACTTGAATGAAACATGATCCTATCGAAATGCAAAAATAAGTCAAATTCTCTAAATAAGAATAGTTATTATATTTATAGACAAAAATACTCTTAGGAGGGTTTAGATTGCCATCAGACTTCTACCGTCACTGATCGCCGGAATTCTGCCGCTGCCATTGCCGCTTATCACCATAAATCGTCTACCACAGGACTTCCACCGTTGGGTTGCCGCCAGCACGTGTCTGCTACCCTGCTTTTCCACCAAGGGATTGACCTTGGGTATGCAAATGAACTGGGGGATTAATTATATTAATTAATTATATTAGGGGCAGAAAGATAAAGTTTAGTATTATTTAGTGAATAAAAAATCTAGAGTCCTATTTGTGCATTTATGTTTAGTTTTAGTCATATTAAGGACAATTTCTCTTTAATAAATTTGAATACTGTCGTTTTTGTTAAATGTATGATTATTCAATTTAATAAATTTGTGTGTGTTTTTGCAAAAACAAGCATAAGTTTCATTAATAATTATCCCTCAATAGGATGCGAATACAAAATGGAGGAATCTCAAATCAAGAACAATCAGACCCAAAATAGCTTGCCTAGCAAATGAATGAGCAACCTTATTCGCTGATCGTTGCACATATTGGACATAAATATTAGCGACAGATGTCATCATGTGTCTAATATCATCTGAAAAAGTTGTATCATAGGAGCATCCACATAGGCAATTTACACCATTCACAGCCTTATGAGCATCTCAATGGCTACCGGGTCAGTAGAGCTTCCTGCAAAACTTCCCCTAAAATGCTGATGGAGTATATTCCCATCCATCAAATGCGTACTCCCTTCATCCAAAAAAAGTTTGCCAAATTTATTTTTCTTGGTCACTGACAATCAACATTGACTAAAGATATTTTTTAATACAAAATTATTTTGAACATGAAAGTATAATATTTTTAAATTATTCACAAATATAATAATTATTTACAAGTATAATAATTATATTTAAATTATTACAAGTATAATAATTATATTACAAGTATTATTTCCATAAAAGTATAATATTTTTAAATTATTTACAAATATAATAATTAAAATGATTGTCCAAAGTTTGTCATCATATGGTAAACCTTTTCGGGACAAGGTAGTATTTTTTAATTCTAAGTTATTAAATAAGGGGTAGTTTGAAAAAACAAAAAAAAATACGGGGTAGTTTGAAGTGACTATAAGAACACCTTCAATGCAAAAACGTGAACGGTGCATACATAGCATGAGAAACAGCTAATTAAAAAACAAAAAATGTAATATATCTCTCCTTATTTGAATGGTCGTATATGTTTTGGTAAGTTTTTTCCACAATGTCAAGAACAATGTCTAAATGTTGACATTGTGGTTGACATTATTGAGAAAAACTTACAAAAAGGCTTTATTTCTATTAGCTTTATTTTCTCATATCACATGTGCACCGTGCATAATGTAGCATTGGAGATACTCTAAGCTTGACTTCATTTCTATTAGCTTTATTTTATCTTAATTTAACTTAATGCTGACAAGTAA